TGGACGGGAGGCTCTAAAAAATTGATTGGATTTGCATTGCTAAAGAAAAAAAAAAAAGAGGGCAATAAAAGCTGATGGGCCAGCCCCCAGGAATATAAAAGCTCTTTATCACTGCCATTCCTTGGGTCAAGGCTTTGGGTTTGGGTTTTTGTTGTTGTGGCTTTAAGGTTTTCTAACAAGACTTGGGATGCGATTCCTTTCCTTGCAGCCACCCGGTGTGCCAGCACCTGTGTGGAGCCCGGCCAGCCCGCTTCGCCGGGCAGCTTCGACCCGCTCCTGCTGCTGAGAGGTAGCTCATGCCAGAAGGACACGGGCACGGGGCATGCACGGATCCAGCAGCACCCTGGGAAAAGCTGATGTAGCTCCAGGGAGGGAAAATCCACTCCTTGTGAAAAATCACTCCCGGCCAACACTTAGCTCTCTGTCGCTAAGTCCAAGCCCAGGTGAAACACGAGAGACCAGAGCCCTTCCCAGCACAGCGAGGCTGAGAGTCCCAAAGAGTGTGTGGAAAGGGATGCACGAGGAGCAAGGGGGAAGGCTGCACCCCGGGTGAGGGGGTCCAGAGGCACTGTGCTGACACGGGGAGGGGGCAAATTGAAGCCCCTTGAAGCAAGCCCAGAACTTGAAGCAAGCCCAGAACTTGAAGCAGTTGTGGAGGACAGATGCTTCCTTCAAAAACTGCCAGACGTTGGTACTTTTGGGCACAGCAAACGTGGGATTCAACTCGTGTCACACCAGTAATGCTCAAGGGGCTTTAAAACCTTAAAGACAGGATCAGACCTACCACCAAACGACCCCAGAGAGCAGGTAAAGTGACCAATTTGATTCAAGTCCCTCAAGGATCCTGCCTGACCCACAGCGAAAGCCGGTTCCCCCTAAACCTCAGCCCACATCCTGCTCCAAGTAAAAACAGGGAGAGGGGCCCGTATGCCCCTCACACCTCTCTCAAATGAAAAATTGCTGGCAAGGGATCCACCAGCAGCCTTGAAAGGGGGGGTGGCTGGGAGGCTGGGGACGGCGGGCACCTCCACGTCCAGCAAACCAGAAGCCATCCCTGCCATGCACCGAGCTGCAGGAACGTGCGTGCGAGCCACCCTGCGGGAGAGGAGCACGGTGGCATTTCACCCGCTTGAGCAATTGCCTGTGGTGTCTCGTGTTTGTAGTGGGTGATTAAGGACTGGGGTTTATAGATTTCTTTTTTTTTTTTTTTTTCCCTACCAAAGGTAAAGAACGCCACGGATGTTTTATGATGTTTTCGCAAGGCCCTGGAGATGGGAAGGAAATTTCCACTCGCCTGTCCCAGGGAGGGCTGTTGCTGGCCATACGGACAAGGGTCAGGCTGGAGCTGCGAGGGAATCCCAGCTGAGGCACCTCTGAACGAGCGATTTGTCAGCCCCCTTCCCCTCCTGAGAGCTTGTTCCCTGCAGACAAAAGGTCTTGGCATCAGGTTATAGAAATCGCTGGAATATGGAGAGCAAGAGCTGGGGTTGGCCGGTCTTTGGGGCTCCTCTCTGAACCCCATGCATAGACCTGTGGAACAGGAAAATACCCGATTCGATCTCACCGCCTCACAAAGCACGGTCACCTGAAGCTGGTTTCCAACAGGGACATCGAATCCATCTGTCACTGCAACTCCCAGCACTGCCGGGCGAGGGTCTCATCCAGAGGGACTTTAACTCGGGCAAAAGGAATCCAGATTTCATTGATTTTTGGGGATATTTATCACAAGAGGTTAACGTAACACGTATTAGCACTGGAAGGTCACAGCCCAAACGTGAAGATTAACCCCGCGTCCTTGGCTTTTAAACATTTACCATTATTGTTCGAGGAGCAGGGATGTTTGCCTGAGCCTTCTAGAGGAAATGCTCTGCATTCAGGCAACAAAGGAATTAATTATTACTAAGTACAGGAGTGGAACAACTGAACAGAAGTGCAAGCTGGAGGGAACTTTTTTTCCCCCATCGGTAGGAGCTCCCGTCAAGCAGCCTCACACCAAGTGCCAGCCGGCACTGCTTCAGCATCCTGTGCCTGCCACGCGGGACTGATGGAAAAATCGCTGGGGGAAACCAGCTGGGGAAGGTTAAGCGCTACGCAAAACACTGACTGATTGGTTTTGGAAGATTAGGAAAAAGGAAACATTATTTATTTTTTTTTCCAGGGCCACACCTGATGTGCTGCTAACACATCAGCTCAGTTGGCACTTTCTTGCTGGAGTCTGGGGAATGCTGCCGTTCTCTAACCACCGCCCTGGTGTGAGGACCATTACGAGGGAAAATAACACTCCCCATCTGCAACCTCGAAACCAGGGACAAAACCAAAATGACAACACAACGATGGTGTTCCCAGTGCCTGTCAGCTGTGGCTCCTAAAGTGCTCTTGTGCACACAGGTTCTACCTGAACCTAACCCTGCCTGAACCTCCTGATGGACAAATGAGGCCAAAAGACCACTTGGCTCGTCACCAAACCATCGCAGCCCGCAGTGCAAAGGGGCAGCATGGGAGGGCAAGACACAAACGAGCCGTGTAGGAATTAGCTCAAATTTTCAGCTGCGCTGCACCAAGTGCCCTAAG